CAGCAATGTTGAAACAAAGGTGTTGCAGTCTGACTCCAATCTTACAATGGATTATATCCACCCTGGTGGCTCCTGCTCCCTTCTCCTGAGCATCCCTGCTCCTGCCGTTTCTTTTTTTTTCCTCATCTCTCCTAGTTCCTCACCAATCCCACAAGTCAGGGTGTTTTCCTTTTCTCTCAGGGTATGGCCAACTCCTCAGCCTTGAGCTCTGAACAGGAATTGAAGGAGAACCTGCTCCCAGCCCTTAGCACAATGCAATGTCCTGTGTTGCTGGGGATGCAGTTGCAGGTGATGACCTCCCCAACATATCTGCTCTGCTTTCCTGTGCAACACATATCCATGCAGGTTTTTCAGAGGCTACTGCATAGGCTAAATGTGATCACATTCCTCATGGATTTGGCAAAACTGCATAAACTTGACATGTGAATGTTTGATCATGAAATTTCAAGACAAAATGCCACAAACTGAAAGTCCAAATGATTCTCGCTGCAATGATGAGATTGTCATCATGATTCTATGGCATTAACAATTAGTTTTATTTATGCAGGGAAATAAACTGTTTTCCTAGAATCTTCTTCTTTTAAATACCTTCCAATATTTCAACCCAAATTTACCATTACAATTAAAACCCATTCAGTTGTCATTTCAGTCTCGTTAAAAACCAAACAACTAAACAAGCAACAGTCCAATTAGCTGAGATATGGCAAGATTATAAAGTACTAACATGGAAATATTGAAGAGCATGCACCGAGAAAGTTTATTTAATGTTGCTTTTAGTAGCTTGTAATGAAGAGATAGAACAATATTTTGTATATTTGGGAGAACAATCAACTAATGTTTGTGAAAGCAGATTAGGTGAGATTAAAAGTAAGAGCAAAAGAGGAAGGGTTAAGTTCTTACCTTGTTAGCTCACCAGTTATCTAAATTCAAACAATGCCATTTCTAAACACATCCAGCATAGGTTATGTCCTGAACAAATATGTTCCAGATTCAGTCCCCTTTTTCAGATAACAAAGGCAATGAAGATAATGCATGTTCTTGAAATAGTTGCTGGAAGTTTGCTGAGGTCACAGTTTTCCGGGAGTTGGGTGACCCAGATAAGCCATAGGTCGTTTTTCTTGGGGAGACTTGTTAATTTGTTATCCTCTCTAAATAGCTTTGATTAGGGTCAACGGGGAATATTCTTAGGTCAGGAAATGTGAAGCCAAGGTAGGGTCACAGCTCTGGCAGCTAGCAAGTATTGCTTGGAAAAGAAAAAAAAGAGAAATAGAGAGACCATTCTTGTTGCCCATTGATGGGAAAGCAACATCGCATCAGTGCCAGCTATTTGGGTACTTTTTCCTCCAGATGCCTTGCAACACTCCAATCCTGTTACCTCCATTGGTATGTGTTCTCTGCATCAAAAATTGCTATCTGTTTGGGCGCTATCTTCTGTGTCTCACAGAAGGTCATCCAAAGAAAGCCCCCTGGCCCTAGCACGCTCCTCTCTCTCAGACCCTAATAGGAGAAAGTTTTCACCAAGTCCTTAAGCGTAATTCCCCGGACACAGCCCGCTGGCAAAGATTTCAAAGGAGTATCATCAGATGGCCGTGCGAGCACGAGCTACCTTGCTCAACGCGCAGTTGCCCGCAACTCGTGACACCAAGGACACCCAAAACCAGCTTTTCATGTGACCGTGGAGGAGCAATTATCGCAGCTGGGAAATGCCACACGCTGAAGCAAAGTTACTCTGATGAATGGTGGGATCTGCGTCATGCCCTCCCCAGCTGCAGTCAGCGGCTGTTTGGGAATGAAAAAGCAAAAAAGGAGTAAAAACAGAATGTTAAACTGAACAAATCGCAGCCGAGCTACAGGGACCGCCACCAGATGATGTTTGAATCTAAGTAAAACCAGACCAAGCCAAACAAAATGTGTTAATTGTCATGATAGAAAGAAAGTCGTGGAAGAAAACCGAGTTTTAAAGTATTTCTTTCCTCTAGCTGTAATACCTGAGACACAGTGTATTTTCCATCGTGAAGAGCACGCTAGTATTTTGTTGTTTATAATTTTCAGACATCATAAGACTCTTGCAGTCCTGTGGTATGGATAGAAATAAATTAATTCAGGTTTGACATGACCTCCTGATTTTTTTTTTTACACCTCCTTGCTCAAAGCAGGGCTGGCATCAGTGGTAGACCAGGCTGCCCACTGCGCTCTCTTCAAGGCATCGCACCATTATTGGTAGTGACCTCCCAGAGGACATGTTTTGAGGAGAGTGGCAACAGATAAACAAGATATGTAACCTTATAAAGCCCTTAGAGGAACAAAAACACCTGGCAGACTGTAACTTTGTCAGATGCTCTCTTGGCAGTACCTACTTGTAGTACACAAGAAAAGAATCTTATCTCCATGTGTGTCTCAGGTACCTGGATGCTGGATGTGATGGCAAAAGTCTTCCATGTTACCCTAGAGCCATGGATGTTAGTGGGTCCAGGAAACAAGGAAGGGGTTAAACAAGAAGGTTAGATTTGGTTAGGCAAAGACTGTGTTCCCTCCAGCCTGGGAGACTGCTGGGGTCTTACAAAGGGACTACAGCCAGGCTTGCTTTCTTGGCTGAACACACACAGGTAGAACTTACACTGCCCATTAGAAATCCAGCTTGGCAGACACATGTATACTAAAACCACGTTCTGATTCTCTGCCTTCTTGAGTTTATGCTGAGAAAGATGGATTTTCTTTTTGTCAAAGCAAGCAAAGTTTAGCATCCAAAGCTAAGCAAAATATTGTGTTGTTCTAAAAATGAATGCCCTTATAATTGGGAACTCCTATGTAAAGGTAGTAACGAAATCACTGCAGTTTGAACACAAGGTACCACACTCACTGGACTACAGTATAGAAGAAATCAATTATTACTCCTGGTTTATTGAAGAGAATCAGCAACCCAGTCCATCCAAAACGTAACTAATAATTTTAAGTAAATTTAAATGTATATATTGGCTTGAACAAGCAGCAGGTTTGTAAAGTCTTTACTCATAAGCTTGAAATCAATAGGCTTGACTGCCGTGCATGCAGGAGGAAGTTTTTGCAGTATAGCTCCCATATTTACAAAGAGAATTTTCCCAATGCACCAAAGAAATGCAATCAGGTCTAACAGCTCCATGATTATAATGCACTAGACTAGAAAATGTGAATGTGGAACCAAAGGAATATTTACACAAAATGCACTGTAAATTGAATTTCTCCTGTTTGGGTGTGTGTTTGTTTTTTTCCTTCAGTAAAATGTTTATCATTGTGACAGATGCTTAAGTTAAGAGCTTTGTCTGTCACATCTGCAGTGGAGACTGCAGTTTAGGACACGTTTTCATCTGCAGTTTCTGATTGTGTTATAGGACACCCCAATATCTGAAAGGAAAAAATGCCCTTGCTATGAAAAACAAAAAGTGAATATTATCATGGTACACTGGTGCGTTTGGGAAGGTTTTTTGGTAAATAGCTCTGTTTCATGAGAAGGGGTATGTAATCTTCAAATATGAGTTGAAAACAGACTTGTTTTCAACAGAGTTGCTCTTGGGATGGTTGACCATTGGTGCATCTCAGTACAGCTTCACTGATTTACCAGCAAATAACTCAACCCTTTGAGGAGACTTTTTCTGCTGTTCTGTGGTTCTGTTGAGCAGTAACCTTCCACCCAATAAGGCTATGATGGAAATTAGTCAGTTTGCTCTCAAAAAGAGATGTAGCCCAGCGTGCATTACAGTGGCAAAACTAAGTCCTGACTAAATCACAAGGTGGTCAGCTTCTTCTGCACAACCTATTCCCTACTAACATTGATTTCTGGGGGATAGCACAAATCTATTAGACAAGGCAGTATGAGTAATGCTGTTATAAGAAGTGCCAAAGAGTTTATTCCTGCCTTGGCACTTGCTGTGCTAAAAGGTGTTAATAAACAGTCTTCTTTGTGTGGATAGAGTAGCTTTCAAAACCTGAAGCAGGGCTCTGTTGACCACCTGCCTTGTTATAGAAGCCAAGTGGAGTTATGATTACTCAGACCCCTTAGACACATTGGAATTTGTTTGATATTTTGATTTCACAGAAATGGGAAAAAAAAAAAAAAAACAACAACACTCTATTAGAATGCTGAACAAGGTCAGGTAAGCTTATTTTGTTGGGTTATGTGAAGCTTCAAATTCAGCATTTTAAGCTTAGGTCAAGGTCACCATAACAGTAGGCTACCAGCATTACAAGGGAGCCCAGAAAAACACAGACATGAAATAACAGTCAGTAAGGAAAATCAGAAAATTTTAAACGGAAATACAACTTCACTTATTCATTAAAAGACCTGTGCGTGGTCAGTTTTCTTTTTTCTTTCTGTTTCCTCTTTTCCTGTTTGATTTATGAATAGTTAAAAATAGCATTTCATCTGAATTGCAGCCAGCATGATTATTCACGGAAGTGCTACTTGACATTAGTAATTGTATCAGAATCTGGTCTAAACATTTCTGAATTGGGCCCAATCAAATGCATGAGATTTAATAACACTGTGATTTTAGGCTGACTCATCTGAGAAGCTATTTTGGGTTTTTCAAGGTATTACTGTCAGTAACTAGGACTATTTTTTCAAATTGAAATTGCATGAAAGCCATCAAAGAGAAAAAAAAAAAAGAAAAAAAAAAGAAATTAGTGGTCCTGGCTGGCTTTCTGTTTTTAAAAATACCTCTCTGTACCTGTAGATTATCAGATGAAAGCTGACTGAATCAGTAATAGCCTGGTTGTACTGTTTTGTAAGTATTTTCCATCACATATAAAGCAACTATGGAACTCACAGTGCTCTGCTCATTAGTATTTAATTTGAAGGTGATCCCCCAATTTTATCCAGGTAATCATGTAGGCCCCTTGTGTAATGAAAAGACAGAGGTAAACTCCTCCAGGGAATGATTCATCCACCTGTCTTATAGTGGGAAAAAGCACTTCTTGGAAGAACCTAACCTTTTCCAAAGGTACTTACAGAGCATTTCTCTAAGAGCAGGACAGAGCATGTCATGCCTGTTACTAGCTGAGCCTAAACATTCGTCTAAGAGACTAAAAAGCCACGTATCCATCTAGGAAGTAACTTGGAGAAAAGAGGGGAAGGTTTCTGGACAAATATTTTAAGTCAGAAAAAAAAGAAATTATTTTTTTCCAGGTTGAAGCTTTTTATAGGGAGCGTGGTAGGCTCATGGGAAGTTTATTCTGTCAGATGCAATGGTTACTTCCAGTATAAGGGAGGTTTCCTGCTTAACATGAGAAATCCACACTTGCATGGTGAGCAACCTGCTCATTAGGATGGTCATTTACCAAATGAGGGATCTGAGCCCATGCCTTTGTTTCTTCCTGATTGAAAACTGAGGATGAGGTGGTCAGTGTACCTGCACAAAGGCACCGAATGTGGACCAGACACCTGAAAGATGGCAATGTCCATACAGGCTGTGGGGTGAGAAGTAGTGTAAGACTTATCTGACAGCACTGTCAAGAGAAGTGACTAATAGACCCCTCTGTCACGTTGTGCTGGTGGGATTATGCTGCATGGACATCTCTAATCAGAGCTCTCATATGAGTATGTTAGTTCAGGGGTCCTGGTAGCACACAGCATTGCATGTCTGAAATCTGCTCCAGGTACCTACCTCCTAAAATAAACCCAAATCGCATGCATTACCATCTATGAGCAGTGTACTGGCAAAAAGCTCTGACTAATATGATATCCTTTTATGTCCTTCTCAGACAGTTTGATTAATTTAGTGTATTTCAACTGAGAAATTTCTCTGAATTCCAGAATACAATGATAAACTGGGGACTGGTGTGGCTCTGTGCGATGCAAGCATTTAGAGGACAGGTAGTTATTGTCCCACTATATTTGCATAAATGGTTTACTGTCCTGCTAGTCCCATACCAAACCTCATACAGCCAAGACCCTACACCTAAACAAACTCTCAGAAATGTGTGGGAAAGGTGAGCTCTGGCAGTGGTTCATGCATGAAAGATCCTACAGTTCTGCCGTTCCATAGCAGGGATCTGGGGTAATAAAAACTTACAGAAAATGCCAGGAGGAGCACAGTAGACTTAGCAACTCTCTTCCTCCTGGCAGAGCCTGCTGCCAGCATAGCCCCACTTCTGGCTGCTTGGGAATCCTGGCATCCCAGAAGTCACACTTGATCTCCTTGCATATCACATGCAGCTCAAGCGCCTCAGTTATGCCACCTTGAATTAGTAGCATCTGCTGTCTGCATAACCTTGGCACTCACCCTCTTGCCTGCCCGAGCTTCCTTGCCTAAATATTATTTCTCCATGCAATAACATTGCATTACATCACCATAGTGAGATGTCATCTCTTGTCACTTCTGAGCAGTTGCTGTATGCTTCAAGACATGTCAGTGACCTTGGCCACCTTTCAGCTACAGAAACAGTTGGCCTGTGGCTTTGTTTTTTTTGCTTTGTTGTTTTTTTTTTCTTGTGATGGGATTGATAAAGCTCCACAGCTAAGTCTCTGTACAACACATGAATTAAATGTAGGGTAAAAAGCTTGCTTTCTGAAAATAAAGTGTTTTCTGAGTGTCATTCTCAGCAGCAAATGTGAAATTTGACTCAAATTATCTGGCATAAGGCAGAATGGCCAGACTAGAAAAGGACAGGTCCTGGCTACCACAACATCCTCTTTCACAGTATTCAGTTCTTACCCAGCACAGGGCAATGCACGTGGTGTTTTTTAGAATGGGAGAGATGGCTCTGTCCATTACCAATGACAATATCCTTTTGCTATAACGAAGGAATGTTGCTAAGGAAACTAAAAATGGCCATGGTTTTGCCTATCAGAAATCCTTTTGTGGTCCCCACTGTGACCACAGCATTTAACCATCATAAAGGATTTGTCACCAAGTCAGAAGGTGCTATGAAGCATCAATGGGGAACCTGCTGTGGACTGGATATCTAAATTTCTGCTGACATCAGAGGGTATTTAACCACCTAAATATATTTTCAACATTGTTCTTATGCCTCGTTTAAGCTCGTGAGAGTCCAGGAGATCAAAATCTGCCCCTGTTTTTGCTGAGTCTCTTCAGCATGTTGGTCTAATCTGCACTGTAGCACCTCCTGTCCTCCCCTCATCTCCCTTTCATTGGATTGCCACTTTTAATCAGTAGTTCTAGTGGTAACATAGTACCAAGAAAATACCCTTTCTCCATTCAAAAGGATGTGGAAACTGTTGGTAATGCCCTGCTGGAGTCTTTAGTCCCGATCAGGAGTGCTGACTGAGCTCAGCTAACTCAACATGACCAAACTACAGCACTGGTGACTCATGGCAAATATACTCTGTATCATAAAAATCTTTGGGAGATATCACTGGGGCACATTTTAAGTGATTTTTGATAGTTTTTTTTAATAGAGAGGAGGAAACAACAGCAGAGCAGAAGAGGTTGGTAAGAAAAAAAAGGGAGGGAAAGCTCTGCACAGCAGCCTATTGCTAGAAGAAACCTTGTTTAGCAGCTCCTTATTGCAGCTTTAAGAATGAAATGAGATTTTTTAACAACTGCTTCTGTTTTGTTTTGTTCCTTTTCAGTCTGTGTGCGATTCTTTCCGTGCTGTTCAGTGGACATCACAAAATTTCCAGGCAAAATTTGGTGGAGGCTGAGGAAAACCTGCTACAGAATCGTCGAACACAACTGGTTTGAAACTTTCATCATATTCATGATCCTGCTGAGCAGTGGAGCCCTGGTAAATATAATAGGATATCCTAGCTGCTTGAAAGTGCACATGGGTCCCAGGGAAGGTGTTCTTTAGTTTTCTGTCTCTAAAATCCTATGAGCCCTTACTGATAATTTGTCAAAGCAAAGTATATTTGGGGCTAAAACAGATCTTCAGCTTTCCTGGTTTCTCTTGCCTTTACCATATGGTGAGGAACTTTCTTCTGTTATAACATAAAACTATGACACACACACACATTTTGAAAAACAAATCCTTAAGGCAATCTGTGTGAGGAAGTATCCCAGAGTTACTACTTCAGCATCCCATAACTACTCCATGGTAGTTCCCATCTGGAGGCTTGAGTTTGCTCCAGGGATGGCAATTTTTTTTTTTTCTTTTCTTTTTCTTTTTTTTTTTTTTGTAGCACATTTTGTAACCAGCAAAGGAAAATCATACAAGGTGCAGGGGCACAGAATGAGTGCTACTCATGGGGTCAGTGGGTACCTGTCAGGATTTGAGTACACCTTGCTTTAAACCACTGCACCTTCCCTGCACAGATAGCTCGTTTGCATCCAAATGACTGTGTATGGATGGAGGCTGGGTGGTCACTACCCAGGACTCTGATAGGGAATCTTCACCTCCTGAGATGTTTCTGCAAGCTGGGATTATCCTCTCTGTATTATCTAGGCTCTTTACAGAGCTGGCAGCATAGATTTCTGTTGCTCATTTACGTGTTAGGGTGCAGTTTCTCCCAGGTTTTTATCTGGCTGTAAAGCAAAGTGGTGTGTCCAGAGCTCTCCAGGCTTTGGTCTGTTGGTCACTGAGCTTCTCCTGTGTGATGGAGTGAGAACTACTCCTTCTAAATTTGCAGGCAGTGCCGTGTTTGGACAGGTTATCCAGGTATTTCTCGAGGTCAGGATTAACCTCTGATAAACAGATGAATCTGCCTTAAGTAGTATAGAGGAACATCATCTTAGAAAGATGCCAGCTTCACCTCATCTGGCATCATCAGGGGCAGAAAAGCATGATGGAGGATGACTGCTAAGGTAGCAGATTTACCAAAAAGAGCTGGAGAGAAGATAGGCAACAAACAGGATAGAGTAAACTACATCCCAGCACCACACAAAAGCTGAACACCCCACTGGGCTGCGTAAATAAGCGTGTTCTTCCACTCCAGTTGGCATCAAGGAGGCCTCAGCTGGAGCACTAGCTTCAGCTCTGGGCATTGTACTTTGGGAAAGACATGGGCTAATTGAAGAAACTCCAGAGGAGAGAAACACAAATTATCAGTGGCCTAAAAAAAAAAAAAGAGGAAAACACAAAAGTACAGGGTTTATGTGCTTTAATGAAAGTCTCTGCAGGGAGACAAGAAGGTGGAAATACATAAATGTTGATGCAAAAAGGAACAGACTGGCCTGTTCTCCAGGTCCACCAGGGATGGGCTGAAATTTCACCCAGGGGATTTTATTTTGTTATGAAAAGTAAGAGGCTGAAAAACTTGGATAAATAGTAGGCTGCTGAAAATTGTCACAGTTTTGCTGAAATCAATGGAGTCTGACAGTTTTTGCACCAGCTTGAGAATCAGCATGTTAATTTTTTAACACATTTCAAAGGGGGCATGTTGCTTGCTATAATACACTTTAGATGAATACACTTCCTTACATATGTAATTAAAAGCGCCTTAGATACTGAAGACTGCAATAAAAATCTCATTTAATTTCCATTGCATGCATTCATTTACATTTTGTGATTTTCAATTTAGCCAGTGCAATTCTGTTTAAGGGCACATTATGCTGCATTTTCTCACGTATCAGCCCTGCACTTCAGTATTTGGACTGGAGATGTTGGAGGCAACACATGAATTTTTTCTTCTGTTATTCTGGGATGAGCTATTCCAAAAACTGAGCTGATCTGGCTACGTCCCTGGGATGTGCTAGCACTTAAGGGAGTTTAAAAGCCAGTATATATTTGTGTGTGGTAGTTAAACCACCAGAATATGTCCATAGCTTACTGCAAAAGCTCCAAACCCCCTTCTTATGCATTTAAGCCATAAACACTCAAACTGGGAGCCTGTGTTTTAATGGCAATTGTGGATAGCGCTGCAGGTATCCTGCTTTACTCTTCTTTTTAACACACAAAGCAAAGCAGAAGAGATACCCCTTAATGATGCTTTATGTTGCAAAGATTTCATCCATTGTCACCATGAAAAAATGCAAAGCACCAGAGTTTTGGCATGTGGGTAATAGCCATGGCTTGTGCAGAAGTACAATGCACCTGAGGCATTCAGAGAGGTTATTTTTCATCCCTTATTAAGCTGCTTCCTGACTCTACAGTGTGCTTTTAGTAGACAAAACACGGAGTACTTTTTGACAAGTTAGTAGGAAATAGAGAGAGGGAATGAGGGAGAGGAGAAAATAACTTTAAATAGTTTGTTGTTATTTTTGCAGTAATTGCAAAGTACAGCAAGTCATCTGACAAAGTGAGTGATCCCCTCCGAGAAGTGATAAACTCTAATCTCTCTGTGTATTGTTTTCGGTGGCTTTCTCCAACAGCTCTTTCACACCCTTGAAATATCATTTTTGAAGGCAAGATAGGAGACTGAGTTGCAGTGAAAACATCACCCCAAAGTGTTGGGACAAATGGACAAGCTTTGGCAGAGGCTGCCAAAGCTTTCTTGTCAGTTTAATTACTGTTCCCTGGCAGGCAAAAGAGCAGTGTGACTGCTTGAGTGACAAGTAACACACTTCTTGTATCTCCAGGCACTGGGTGTTTGCTAACTTTTTGAAGTTCCTCAGAAAGCAGCTACAGATCTTGAGATCTGTGAATGCAGATAATTAAGGTGATTAGCACAGAACCTCTCAAATCATATTGTTTCTTGCTGCCAAGTGCTCTGGGTCACGTGGTGGAAGGAGAGTAACATATCAAAGCTTGGGTTATCCAGGTTACAGGGACATGGGGTTAGCTTCTGTAATGAGAGTCCATTGAGTAGCTGGGGAAGCAGATTTTTACCACTGCTTGACTAGAAGCCTCAAAACAGGCCATATATTTGCAGCCCTGCCACTAGGATCCTGAATTTTGTTTGATGTACATTACACAGTGAGCGCTAAATGATGAGACAACTTTGTTTGTTTTATTTTAGTAGGCATATTGTTTTATATCTTAAATATTTTAAAGGGGTTATTAAGTTGCTTGTATTTGATACAGATACTGAAAGTCCTTTGATGATGCCCTGCGTAAGATCAGTTAGGGAGACAGATGAGATGAGTAGATAGATTTCTTGACCTTTAAAACATAATTGTTCTCCTAAGTGAATAATAATGAGCATTTCTTGAGGCAGATAACTGTAGCTACCTGAAATGTGATGGCTGAAAAGAAGCCAGGGAACACCAGTACTCTATAACACAGGCAGTTTAATAACCCAATTTGTCATCATTAGCAATAAGATGTATTTGACTAAACGTAAGGGTCAGAGTCTACCCCCTAAAGACAGGCCTCCTATGCCCTGGGACATATGAGTTGCCCCAATAGCAGTGGCACAGCCAACGGGAGCTGGGGCAGGATGCCCTTGGCCAGCTTGGGGTGGCACCTGTGCTTGCAGATTCATGTTCCCAAATTTAGGGTGCTTAAGCTCTTCTTACACTCAAAAGATGTCTAGTCTACTGGCCAGCAGAGGCTGGAGAGAGATAGCTAAGCCTGTGTCCTTGATAACAGAAAGCTGAGCACATCTCTGTTAGGTTAGGGCTAGTCCTATTTCTGCCTGTGCACTTTCTGATGGTAACATTAAAATACATCAGAAATCACAGGCAGGACATGATATTCCATCAAATAAAACTACAGTGCTTTCCAACAAGGCTTAGGAGAAATTTTTAATTAATCTTTTGTACTTCCAGGCTTTTGAAGATATTTACCTTGAAGATAGAAAAAACATAAAAACCATGCTGGAATATGCTGACAAAGTATTCACTTACATCTTCGTCTTGGAAATGCTCCTGAAATGGGTGGCTTATGGCTTCAAGAAGTATTTCACCAATGCCTGGTGCTGGCTGGACTTCCTTATTGTGGATGTAAGTATCATTTTGGAACTGTGATGCTTCCTGTGTTGGATTTTATAAGGCATAAGAAGGAGCTGTTAAGTCTGGCAGCTTTGTGTTTGCAAAATGACAGCCGCCACTCTGATGCTGAGTTGCAGCTCTAGGCAAGGTTCAAAGGAGGTCCTGATAGGTAACCATGCATCCCCAGAAATCAGTGTTCCAGAGGGGAGGAGACCACTTGGTGTTGTTACGTAGATGTGTCACCCTGCTAATCTGAGTCACTCTCCCTTCTCATCCCTAGGAGCTCACTCTTAGCATTTAACATCTCGTTCTACACAAGGTCTGGTTACCCACTGCTGCCCCACGCCTGACCTCGACTCACAAGTCTTTCAGCAGATTAGAGAAGTTGTCCTTGGCATAGTCTCCTGGCGAGGCTGCCAGCAGCGTGTTACAGTATGTTCAGTACCTCCTCCCAGGTATTTACCAGTGAGGGAGTCCAGAAAAAGGTGTGAATAGTCCTGTCAAAGTGATTTCACTGTTCCAAACTACAAAATACTCCAAATCCTTGAAATGTTACAGTGCATAGTTCTCCTATGAGGATAACCCTGAAAAGTGAGTAGGAGTTGAACAAAAGGGAGATCATGTCATAGGAGACTTTTGGGGCCACACATGTCCACACCAAAATGTCACATTGCCTGGATGTTGTGGGATCTTCCCAATTCAGGAAAACCCAGCAACACCAGCATCCTCCAGGTGAGGTTTAACATTTTATCACAGCATATAAGTAAGGAGGCAATCATCTCCCTGAGGCCATTTCTTATTAGTTTGAGGTATTAATGTGGAAGGCTGGCAGAGCTCTGCCATGACTCTGTAACTTATTAAACTTTTGATAAATTATTTTTCCCCATTTTACATCTGAACCTTGACTCAGGGGAGAACTGCACTTTCTTTGGCCTCAGTCCAGGAAAGCACTTCAGTGGGACAATTTACTTGTTTGAAGTTATGGACATGTCTAAGTGCACTGCTGGATCTGAGCCTTCTTTGGAAGCTTCTCCAGAGCCTTAATAAATTGATTTATGAAGAGGAAGTTCTACATAAATTGTAGGTCATAAATTCCTCTCTGCATACACGCTTGGAAACCTCTTAAAGGGAAGGCACTCGTTTTTCACAGATTAGCTTCAAGAGAAGAGGAAGGCCTGGTTTAATTATCTAACCACAAAATTGGAAACCAGTAGTTCCTAAGTTATACTCCAACCCTGAAAACTCTGCTTGCTGTGGTTTAGAATGAGTGACATAACTTTTCTTTCCTCATTTCTGCACCTGTAAGATGGGACTAAAACTCACCTAAAGTATTACACGGGCTTCCAGGAATTTGTTATTGGAGTCATTGTTTTGATGAGCTTCTGAAGAAGGGCTGGATGAGGGCTGAATATTCTCACAGCTATAAGTGGGGACCTTCCTGATGGGATCAACAGTTTGCACAGTGAATTCACAGAAACAGTTTGGAGCTCTGCTGCATCGTTAACAGTCTGAAATGAGTTCCACACTCGTTAGAAATACATACTCTGTAGCATGACATTTAGTTAATACCAAAGGGAGTAAAACAAAACAAAGCTTAATTCTGTCCTCCATGCATAAACCCCTCTTGGAACAGGAGCTACACAAGAATGCAAAATCAGTATGTAAACCCAAAATTTACCTACATATTTGCCTTTCAATGGTGGAGTTTGTAAGCATAATGATAGAATGTAGAGGAAGCCATAGGTAGGCTGGCAAGGGAACTTCACTTCCCTGCCACCCATCCAAAGCACATTTGGCATAAAACAGTGGGAGAGGTAGAGGACCACGAGCCCCTGGGATGGCCCTTATCCCCAGAAAATCCACCCCAGAGCCCTTTTACTGACCCAGAGTTTTTTATTTTCTTAACCCACATTTAAACTTTGGTTTTGCAGCCTTCTGATCTAACCCAAAAGTTGCTTCATCCTTGAGTTGTTTTAGTTATTGATTGACTCACTTGGTAGTGCTGGGTTAACGGTTGGACTTGATCTTAAAAGTCTTTTCCAACCAAAATCTATGATTCTATGACTCTAGCAAATCACTTGTCCTTTGGCGTTCTCAGTGAATAAAGATTTTCTCCCTACCCCATTTTTTTCTTCAAAGTAATTTCCCAATGTGGATTATAAGAACCTGGTACTATATTTTTAGCAGGTTTAACAGATGCTCTTCTACCCTATTGCTCACCCACCCTGCCATTCTGAATTGGCAGAGAAACATGCTATCATTTCTCCAACACACTTAACTTCAATTTACATTTTCTTTTTGGTCCTTTGAGAACCAAATCACTGCATCTGAGCTGCAGAAGGGACTGAATGGGCAAATTAGCTGCTCCAAAAGAAGCAGATGAACCACTTGTCTGATTTTTCTCAAATTTATTTGTTTAAAATTATTCACTTAAAAATTCCAGATCTGCAAATTATTCATTAGCAGTTTGGTATCAGTATTCAAAATTCAAGTTGAGATGGTTGATTTTTCATTGGACATGTGAAACCATCTATCATCTGTTTTTTCATTGTACAAATGCAACTCAGAATCCTTTTTCTCTTGTGAATAATTCATAAAACCAGCTCAAATTTTGCAAGTATTCACTATTTCTAAAACGGAAGTGAACCCAGAGAGGGTATAAGCATATTGCTGCCAAATATTTTATTATTATTATTATTATGATTGTACTTACCATGCCTTTTGAAAGACCTTTGACACTGATTTGGGCCAGTAAAACAGCAAAGGCTCTATTTGACAATTGTGGATTACTAAAGAAACTTCTGTCTTACAAAGCCTGAACATCAAAAACCACACAGTAATCCACAAACTGAGAGCTATTTTTGCTGGATATAGAATCCCTAAAGGATGATCTCTGATAATGGGTTTCTCTGCATCTCAAAGAGGTTTGCTAGTGTAGCAAATCCATGAGAGAGTGCTTTGAAATACATCACGATACAATAAAGTCCTATCAAAAACTCTGCAACAGTTTTCTTTGGGAGAAAGGAGTAATCAAACCCCCAAATACACACTTATTTCAACTTGGGACACCTGGAAAAGATGCCTCAGGTGTCTGCTGAAATGTGGATATACTGAACCAACAGCACTAGTGTACATCTACCTCCCTGCAAATAACAAGTGTACTGCTAACCCCCTTCTACAGTGCAGATGTAGCCCCTCTGTGCTCACGAACTGGAGTGGTGGGTACTCAGTTCACAGCTCTTTTCAAATGAGGGAAAAGCAGAGACTGTATTTAGTATATCTGGAAGGGCAGGCAGACAACCCTACCACCATCAGGAATGGTGTTTATGCACAGTCCTCTTTGCTAGGGCACACAGGCAAATATTTTCACAAAGAATAGCTATTTTCCAAGCATTCATGCATTTAAAACCTCTTCATACGAAGCAGATTAGACATGGAATCTGAACTTGGCCAAAGACAGAAGCTCATGGCCTTAAAAATGAAAATTTATGAAAACTGCTCTCAGCCAGGCATGCCCTGTGGCAGGCAGAGACAGTCAGGGTTCAAAACAAGAGGCAGATAAACTCCACCAGTTGTGCATGCTGGTGTTATGGTTGACGTTCCTTTCAGTTCTTTCCTCTGACCTATAAATATTATCATGAGCTTATCTAGTTTGAGTTTCAGCCAATTAATTGTCAGCTACATCCCAGTCTCTGCTGACAGTGGATGGGTTATTCCATTACAGTGGTCACTTTGGGAAAGGCATCAATCTTGAGCTTGACATCATTCAAAGGCTGGAGGTGTTACAGTCAACATCTTCTTCACTCACTGGTCATGCACTGAAGACAGAGGGGAGAGACTGGCACCTTACAGAAACCTCTTGGAAAAGAGATGTAAAGTCCATAACTCATTAGTAACAATGCTCAGAAAAAAAAGTCACAGTGAAGTTTCATTGCCTGTGGCAGACACAGAAAAATCCTCCTAAATGGGCACTAATGTCATCTCTCTACAAAAGTCCATTAACACAAATCCATCATCTCCATTGCAGCTTTTGGGTTCAATTTAATTGACTAAAAGTTAGTCCCAATCCAGGCTTACAAAAAAAAAATGTTGATTGTCATTTGCTGAGTTTGGAAATGAGGGGACCTGGGGGTTTCACCACCAACATTTTTTAATATTATCCTATCTTTCAAAATTTGATACTTGGGGAAAGCTATTTTCTCAAGCAATGGCTTTCTTAGAGATGGTGGCATCCTCTTCCTCTTCAGCTCTCTCCAGCAATGGGACCTAATGAAGTCCTGTAGTGAGGAGGGGAAGATCATCTCAAGTTCTCATTTTTTTTTTCCTGATGCCCCATCAGTTTTTCTCCAGCTGAGTCACCATGGAGGAAGATTTCTCCTTCTGTCCCTTTCCCCAGAGAGCCGTGGAGGCTTACAACAGCTTTAAGCAGTCTATCTGTCTGCAAAATAGTTCAGGCAAGGCTCAGCAATGGATTTGGAGGCCAGGAATCTCAAATGAGTTATTCGACAAGTCCACTAGGCAGGATTTTGCAGATGCTTTTATGGAAGTAAAATAATGTGTACGTTTCACACCCCTCCCATACATTTTGTGAATGGTTATAACACAAAATTTTTCTGGTGTTTGCCTGCAGCTGTTGAGTTTGTACCTAGAGATCTGTATTCCCCATTGAGCAGCTTTCCAACTTTCCTGTTTGCTGCCAAATTTCATATTTGGTTGTTTGAGAACCGCTCATGGATGTTCAGTCATTACATGCACCATCACTTTCCCTGAAAGCTTAAAAAAATACAGATATTACATTTTCTGAGATAGTTTCCTGGAAAGCACTTGTGCTAAGATTTCTACTTCATATAGTTCACTGCCAGGCAAGTTAAAAAGCAGCTAATAACGTTTTAGTTTGAGATGAACAATTTTAAACTGTCTTTCTATCCCTCGTTAAGAAATGAATTGAATTAAACTATGCCCTTGTGTTGGATTGTCTTTAAGTGACAATTAAAAACTTTCTCTATAAAGTA